AACGAAATATAGTCATTTCCAATAAATGCATGCAAGCCAAGCGGGGCTTCTTTTTGAAAGGCCGATAATTCACAAGCAGCTAGAGCGAAGATTTTTCTATTTTTACCTGTCCCACTATCAATAAATATTTAGAAATGAGGTTCCTGCCTAGCAAGCAAGATAACAGGGATGTTAATATATCTCCAAAACAAGAACGCAAATCGTTTCTCGACTTTCGTTTTGTTGGAGAGCATGATGTAGAAGGAAGCAAACTTAAGCTAGTGATATTTATGCAGCGATATCTATATATATTTTTCTCTTTGCGAGAAAAAATGATCACTCTGTTCCCTAAATGACAGCCTTGACGAACCCAGACTTCTTTAACCAACTCAAACAACCGCTCTTTATTCTGTCTTTTCCTCAGAAACGCAACGAAGTTAGGAGGAATCTTTATGTTTGGCGATTTGATGAAGAAATGGTTCTCTACATTCTTGATGAACCAATCGGCATGTTCGAATGCAATATATACACAGTTGTATTGTGTCCGTTATTCATTCAGCAACTTTGTTGCAAGCCTCCTGAAAGTGTCCGGTATTCTAACTGTAGATCGAATGGTGGCAACCAAATCAACAACAAAGCAAATTGCCTATCTCCTCTTTTCTGTTCTTCATAAGGCTGGTAACTGTGGTATTTATATGTGCCTCATACTTCTAAGTACCTGAGCTTCACGAGACAGCGAGGAAGGAGATACTATCACCGAACTCGGCTTCTAACCCCTTTTTAACTTAGTCTGCTGTTCTCGTTAATGAAACAATACATTCCAGTTAAAGTCTTCATTGCGATGGATCGGTTCATGATTTGTTATATATGAACACACAGGAAAGAGTCAGCTTACACTGTTCTTCGCTTGTTTCAAGTACTTCGTTAGTGGGATCGTGGACAGCTGTAGAAGTAAGGGTAGTCGACTTCTTACTACAAAATACTGTGTACATATTATACCAGGAAAGCTTGACCCTCTCTTAATGCTGGAGCCTTTTGCAGAGTTCGGCATGATGAAAGTTTATATAAGTTTCAATAGTTGCTTCTTCCCCTTATTAACATTGATAGGCCCTTGTTATTAGGCGCTTGCTTTCGTCATTGTTTTCT